ATAAGGAAAAAAGCAGGGATGGCAAGCAGAGCTTGATTCATGCATCAGGTCTTTGAAACTTTAAATCAGCTATTTTACATATGTTCAAAGACCTGAAGGAAACAATGTTTAAAGAATTACAGAAAAGTATGAGAACAATGTATCTCTAAATAGAGAATATCAACAAAGAGATAGAAATTATAAAAACAAACCAAATAGAAATTCTGGAGGTGAAAAGTGTAATAATGAAAATGAAAAATTCACTAGGGGATCCCAATAACATATCTGAGCACGCAGAAGAAGGAATCAGTGAACTTGAAGATAGTGCAATTGAGATAATCCTGTCAGAGAAAGACAAAGAAAAAAGAATGAGGAAAAATGGACAGAGCCTCAGAAACCTGTGAGACACCATCAAGTATGCCAAAATGTGCATAGTAGGAGTCCTAGAAGGAAAAGAGGGAGAAAGCGGAAGAAAGAATATTAAACAAAATAATGACCACACACTCCTCAAATTCGATGAAATCCATTTATCTACACCTCCAAGAAGCTCAACCAACTCCAAGTAGGATAAACGAAGAGACTCATAAGTAGACACATCAAGCATCAATAAACAATTCATCATATACAAAGAAGCCTCAGTAAGATTAACAACTGATTTCTCACTAGAACCCATGGAGGCCAAAAACAATAGGATGGTATATTCAAAGTACAGATTGAGGTGGTGGGGGATAGGGAGCTGTAAACCAAAATTCTATATCTGGCAGTTACATTCAGTCATGTCAAGGTATACAAAACTGAAAGCTGGTCCCAGCAAACCTGCCCTATGAGAAATATACTGAAACAAAAGAACAGTAGATAGTAACATGACTGACTCAACATGAAGAAATAAGGGGCACTGGTAAAAGCAATTACATAATTAAATATAGAAAATGCTATAAATGTGTTTTTAATTTTAACTCATTTTTTTCTGTCTGATTTAGAAAACTGCATAAAATAACTATAAATCTATATTGATAAGGACAAAATGTATAAGTAAGTAATTTGTGATAATCACAACATAAGGTGGGGGGAATTAAACTGTACAAAAGCAAAATTTTGCGTACAATTGAAATTAAGTTGGTATTAATGTGAACTAGGTTGTTCTAAATGAGATATTCATAGTAACCACCAAGAAAATAAGTTTAAAAAATATAGTAAATGAAATAAAAAATCACACTAGAAAATAAATATTTAACACAAAAGAAGGCAATAATAGAGAAATAAAAGAACAAAAAAAGACATTGAAATATAGAAAATAAATAGCAAAATGGCAAGCATAAATCTTAATTGACTAATTACATTAAATGTAAATAGATTAAACTTTCCAATTAAAGGGTGGAGACTGGAAGAGTAGATTTAAAAACATGATTCGACTATATGTTGTCTATGAGAGGATCACTTTTTTAAAAAAAAATTTTATTTATTTATTTTTAGAGAGGAGAAGGGAGGAAGAGAGGGAGAGAAACATCAATGTGTGGTTGCCTCTCACGTGTCTCCCACTAGGGACATGGCCCACAATCCAGGCATGTGCCCTGACTGGAAATTGAACTGGTGACTCTTTGGTTCACAGGCCGGCTCCCAAATCCACTGAGTCACACCTGCCAGGGCTGAATCACTTATTTTTTATTTTAAAGATTCTATTTGTTTATTTTTAGAGAGGGGGGAGGGAGAAAGAAAGGGAGAGAAACATTGATATTGCAAGAGAGAAACATCTGTTGGTTGCCTCTTGCATGCCCTCAACTGCGGACATGGCCCACACGCCAGGCTTGTACCCTGACTGGGAATTGAACTGGCAACCTTTCAGTTCACGGGCCAGCGCCCAACCCACTGAGCTACACCCACTGGGGTTAGAATCACTTTCGATTCAAAGGCACAAATAGGCTGAAAGTAAAAAGATGGAAAAATTATACCATGCAAATGGCAACAGACAGAGAGCTGTTGTGACTATACTAATATCAAACAAAATAGATTTTAGACAAAAATTACTACTAAAGACAAAGAAGGAAACTTTATAAAGATAAAGGGTTAATTCATCAAGAAGACATAAACAATTATAAACACATGTGAACTTATAAATAGAGCCCTAAAATACGTGAAGAAAACTGAGGTATTTAAGAGCAGTATAGGAAGAGAAAGCAGCTCTGTCCTAAATGTTTGACCCCCATGACCCATTATGGTGCTTCATAGTCTACCAGTAGGAATTTATTTCTTTGGTTTTAAGTTTTGTCTCCCTTAGAGTTTTTTGTTAAAATATAAATATAGCCCTGAAGCCACCATTTGCATTAATACCTTAGCTGAAATTGGTTTGAGATCCTCTGAAACAGTCACTTTTAGTGACAGAGACAAAGGGCTGAGCCGTTTTTGATAGAACACATAGATATATGGCCTGCAGAGGGCCAGGGGGAGAGCAGGAAGGAGGGAGTCCAAGACTGGGTGAAGGTATTGAAAATGGAGAAAAAGTGTAGGATAGGGGAGAGGTGGAAGAAAGTTAGGGTCTCAGAGAGAAACAGAAAAGACCCCAATGAGACTACAAAAGAAAGTGAATGCTAACAAGGAGCAAAGCAACTGGGGTGCTAGAGCTCATGGTTGGGCAACTCAGGGCTGAGGGCAGAAGACCCCAGAAATAAGCACAATAAGTCAGAGTAGGGGAACAAGGGAGGAGCCAGATATGGTGAGGAGCACATGTCATTCCCAGGTAAACACCCAGGAGCTGGCACCAGGTCTAAGCTGCTGTCTGAGTCGTGGAGAACCATAGGCAGGGACGGAGAGTGGACTGTGGGCTAAAAGCTATAGGTACTGACTGGAAAACCAAAGGGAGAGCAGGGCCATGAGGCAAAGCCAGGTACAAGCTCATCAGCCAGGTAAATGGGCTGAGCAACTGGGCCTTCAAATAAGGTGTTTGTGGGATTGCCCAGTTTTGGGTAGATGCTTGGTGTTTGTTGTTTCTAATCTGAAACTGAGGAAAGGTCTGGGCAGTCACTCAGTGCTGACAACAGTAATAGCCCCTTCTTGTTAGCACCTATTATGTCCTGGGCACTGTGCTAAGTACTTTACCTACATTGCTTTATTTATTACTTAAAATGTTTCTATGAGGTTGACACCGAAACCTCCAATCTACAGATGAACATGAAACCTGGTGAAGTCACTTGCTCAAGATCATAACAGCAATGTAAATGGGATGGAGACGGAAGTCTTTTTGTAATAGCACCGCTGGCTCAGGGCTAGGCTGACAGTCCCTTGGGATGATTTTGATCACTATGGTGGCTTAAAAAGAATGAGAGAGAAGAGGGTATGCTACTGAGACCTGGGAACACAGAACTTCTCAGGGTCCCTCTGAAGTCCCCATGCTCCATATTTTTTCAGGTGGGGTTGGAAAAGGGAGCAGCAGAGGCCTGCACACCCTTCCCGCTCCCTCTCTCTCGGGACCTTGGAGAATTTGTGGACATTCACTGCACATACTGGACAGCCAGGCACTACGGTCATCCCCCCTTGCTCTAAATCCTGAATTCACTTTTCCTAAATGGGAAAATGCTGTCCGGAGCCAGGGATCAGGTGCTCAGGGATAAATGCATCTGTGGGCTTAGGGAGCCCCAGGCATGGCCTGCTTGCCTCACAAATCCCAACTGCCACCCCTGTTTTCCATCAGAAGCAGGACAGCTGCTGTCCTTTCTCCTTGGCTATCCCTGCCTTCTACCCGCACTCCACACACACACACAACAACCCATATTCGCACACGACACACACAGAGATGAGGGCTACTTCTGGGTGACCCATCCCCTACACATCCCACTAATGTGGGGGCCCTCCACCAGTGCCCTCTCTCAGGGAAATGAGTCTCCTGTGAGTTCCCCTCGAAATTTGACTGGGGGCCAGGGCAGCCTAAGTTGGAAAATAATCATGTCATCATAAGCATTCTGAGAGAAAAGAGCCTGAAGCACCAAATAGCTCATCCTTCATTTTACTAATGAGATGGGCGCCCAGCAAGGGAGCTGGCTTGCCCAAGATCATGGGGCATCTCCTGGTGCTCACGGCTGGTTTTCATTCCACACCCTCATGGGCAACCTAGTGCCTACAATGAAAGGTTGGATGACAGAGGGAGGGGCCTGCAAAAAGGAGGTAGGCACTCAGCTGGTGACCCAGGGGGCTCTCACCCTCTGTGGGGGAGGCTGCAGGGAACAGCCTTGGGAGCTCTGGCCTCTCCCCAGCCCGGGAAGACTGTGTGCACTTCACCGCTCACTCTCCTGTGAGGGCCTGGGCCATAGCCTGAGAATGGTGATTGGCAGGGATCTTCCTGGACTTTTCATCCAGCTGCCCACCCCAGGCAAGAGTGCGCCCGTGAGCCCCGCTGACAGCCAGCTAGTGATGCTGGAGCCCTGCACCAGCACCAGCGCAGGCGCCACCGCAGGCCCAGGTCGGTCCCTTAATCTGAGGGCCCCGTGCTGCTGCAGTCACAGAGCGCCGAGGTGGCCGTGACACTGTTCACAAACACCAGCAAAATGTCACCAGCACAGCCACACTTTTTTTTTCTTTTTTAAATACAGTCTTCTGAAAAAATAAAATAAAATGAAGTCAGTAACTATGGACCTGATGTTGGGCCTCATTGCTGGCATGTCAATCTATCCCATTAATCATCACGTACGATTTTTCAAAGAGCTATTTTGAGAAACATTTAGAAAATGGCGTTACATAGCTACAGTTTATTTTTACCCTTTGGAGATGGTCGCTCTGTTGAGCAGCACATGGGTTTTTCCCCCTGGTTTTCTTTTCATCTCTGGAGGTTAGGCAGGAAGTGAGCCCACCCCCTAACCCCAGGCACACATTTATCACCCCCAGGCCACCTGGGAGTCCTGGCTGTGGGTGGGCAGTGAGGAGAAAAGGCTGTGGGTTCTTTGTAAGGCACAGTTCCGGGGAACCCATGGGGGCAAATGCCACAGCCCTGGAGCTGCTGAGAGAGGCTGGGCCCTGAAGCCTGGGCAGGAGCAGGACCCCAGGGGGAGGGGGATGAGGAGTGGAGAAGAGGACGTGGGTATTCTGGTTTGCTCTCCTCGACACCATGCGGGCATCTCGAGGTCCTTGATGCATATGCCAAGAGTGTCCCATTGGCATCCAGAGAACAGGAGCCAAAGCCAGACCAACCGCGCTCACATTCATTGCCTGAGTTTCTGTATCTGCGGCCTGCAGGAAGCGGCAAGTCGGCCCTGCACAGTTACCGTGGCAACTGCAGTGCTGAGGCTCCTAAAGGCAAGGGGTGGGGGGGAGAAGGGAGGTGGAGAAGGCACATGGTGGCTTTTCTGGAAAAGCCCATCTGTTTCTTTTCCCAGGAAATCAAGCTGGAGGGGTGGGGGAAGAGGGGAAAGGAATGGGCATCTGGCGTCTAGAGAAAGTAGGGTGAGAAGAGACTCCAAGATGCTCCAACAGCAGCTTTCCTGACTGGAGGTACTCCCCTTCCTTACTGGGGAGGCAAGTCACTGTCAGGGACAAAGGTCTGGGCTGGGCTTGGTAGGGGCATCTGTGCAGGGGCCATGTGCTGGATTCACTGTAGGCCCTGTGACTCCAGGCCTGGGTGGAACAGTCCTGGGAGGTGACCATCAGCCACAGCAGGATTTCTTCTTGACCGGGCGGTCAACCTGAACGATGTCCTCTCTCACGGTGTCTTCTTGCTCCTTGAGGATCCTGGCAGGGGGGGAAGGTATAGTGTCAGTCGTGGACAGTTGCCAGGCCCTCAGGTTACAGGCCATCTGGGTCATACTGAGGGACCCCAACCTCATCAGAGCATCAGAGAGAGTATTCCAAGTCTCCCCCTGGGCAGTACAAGTACATGACTATAATCTGTAAAGCCAGCGTTTACTCAATATGGATCCTTCACACCTCTTCCAGGAAGCCTCCCCTGATCCTCTAGGTGTTGTAAGTGTTCTGATACCACTTTGACCCTTCTGTTATAACTCCATTGTTCCCTCATCACTGAAGGAGCTGCTAAGAGCAGAGGCTGTATCTGTTGTCCCTGTATCTCTGCAGCCTAGCATAGTACTCAGAACACAGTATAGGCTCAGAACATATATTTCTTAGTTATTAACTCTGTGGAAGGGCTGTCCCACGTGGCCACAGCTCCAGATTAAATGTAGGAGGTGGAGGATTAAAAATAGTGTTAAGTATCTTATCCCTGCTTTATACTGTCAAAGTGCTTTCACCTTCAGCATCTGTTTTGATTCTCACAACAACCTGTGAGTGGGCAGGGAGGGTATGATTGATGTCCCTACCTTAGCAGGAAAGCTCAAAAAGGCAGGGTCACTTGCTCCAAAAATCAGTGCCAGAGAAAAGCCTAGAACTTTCCCCATGGTCTTCCATAACTCCACAACCTCACCAATGCATAGAAGAAGTTGTTATGGGTTCTTAATTACTCAAATAAAAATATTTTTAGATGCCCCAGAATGAATGCTGAGCACAAATGACTACCATTAAGTATAGTACTTATGTTATCTCGGTGGGTGGATGGAATAAAATGAATGCCTAGATAGATAAACGAGTGAATGTTCAAGTATGAATAACACGATCCTGTGGTGGTATTCTCTTCATTTTGTTGTAGGCAGAGGCTTATGGAAGCTGTCTCTCCATGAGACCAGCCCTGGAAGGCCATCCCCTTAGGTGCCTCTGGTCTCCCATCACAGCCCCTCCTCTCCTTGGCTCCCCCTCCCCCTCCCCAGGAGCCCTAATCCGTCTTTTTTCCCGCCTGCCTGTCAACTAAGCCCAGTTAAGATACTAGCCAGTATTGGGGGACCTATGACACGACCTTCCCCAGGAGCACTTGCACTGAAAAAGAGAATTCTTGGGGAAAACAGCAGCCTTTCAGATTCAGTGACAGGCAGGGAGGCTTTCTTTTGGGCCTTATTGTGTTTCATGAGGCTGTCCCTGACCTCTGGAATGCCACACAAAGGCCCAGGCCGCCAGCCCCTTTACCCAGAGGCTCTTGCAGACAGAAGACAGGCCCAGAGGCCCGGGGTAGGGAGCAGGGGTTGGCGATAGTGAATGCAGTGGTCCCCATCAGACCAGTACAGCCTGGCCATGTCGCCCACTGAGGTGTGTCTCTACCTGGCCAGATGGAGCAGGGACTCTTTGGTGTTGTGACCAGAATAGGCACTGCATTCATAGAAGATCAGATTGTTCTCCTAGAATCATAAAACAGAGGGAATAAATGGGGAGGGGCAAGGGAACTGTGGGGTGGGCAGAGAACACCCTGTCTGCATCTACCCACACCCCTGCTTCCTTCCAGAGTCCCCTCGAATTCCTCCACCCCCTCGCCACTCTCTAAGAGGTTGATTTCTGTCTCCTCAGGCAACCCCACTGATGCAAGCTCTGTAACTATGTCCCAGGTGAGCTATAACAATTGTAAAACAACAACATCATAAGCTGTTTGACACTTCCTCAAATTGCTCCCGGGTAGGGTACCTATGTGCTCGTTTCCTTTTCCACCAGCCTGGGATGCAGACAAAGACACATAGGCCAGGGTGGGCGACATTCTCCCACTTCACAGGAAGGAAAACTGAGGTCAGAGAGGGTGTAAATAGCCGGCTTGCTTCAGTCGCAGATTTAGCTAATGGCAGGGCTCCCAGCAGCAGACTTTTCCCAGGGCACTGATGTGCCACGGGCCTTGGGGCAGGTGCCACTCCAACGGGAATTCTCCTTCACACCAGTTAATTAGCACTCCAGCTGCCCAGGCTGTCAGCACAGATGCCACAGGCCAACTGCCCATCACTTCACTGGGCAGAGGCTGCGCTACACGCTCGGTGGGGCCCTTGGCCAAGGCTCACCCTTGTCCACTTGTCACTCCGATTAATAGCTGTCCTGCTTCCTTATGACAAAACTAAAGGCACTGAGGTCTGAAGACTGATGTCCTGTGGGGATGCGGTTAGCTGAGTGAGGACCCTTCTTTTGTGGCTGCACATCAGGACTGTGCAAATGCTGGCTCCCAATTCATCCTTCCTGCTGCACACCCCACAGACCCAGCTCTGTCCTCTGCCCTCTTCACCCCTCCCCTGCAGTTCTACCCTGACCCCTGGCCAGTCTGTGAAGAATGAAGGCTTCATAGTTGGGGGAGGGGGAGTGCCTAGGCCCTGGAATTGAAAGACATGACTTGTCTTCCCGCTTCAAGTCCAGAGTCTGTCCTTGAGGAGCTGCGTGATAATTTGAATAAATCACTTAATTTCTCTGAGCCGCAGTTTTCATTTCATTGACAAAAAAAAAAAAAAAAAAAAGAAAATGGGATGATAAAAATACAGGCCCTGCATTCCCTTAGTCAAAATCCTTGGATCCAGATGTATTTTGGAATCCAGAAATTTTGAGTTTCAGAAAGCTACTGCATGCATAAACTATATTACATAATACTCTCAGTGGGTCTGGGACAGCACTCTATAATCAAACGTATTAATATTTTTTCAGTGAAACATTTGAATGTTCATTCAAAGTGCAGTACACAGCGATCATCAATAGCCATGTGTCAGTTCTGGTCAGATGTTTCTTCCAGATGAAATGCAAATCCCTTTTTGTTTTCAGAGCTTTTTGGATTCTGGAATTGAGGATGAAGGGCTGTGGACATGTAGCTGCTTGGCAACCCTGCACAGGAACACCCGCCAGGCCCTCCTTCTTCCCTCTTCCCTGAATCTTGCCATCTGTACTCCTTTCCCAGCCTCTGAGGCTATGAGCCTCTGCTTAGATGGAGCACACTAAGAATTACGAATCCTGGGGCCGGACAGCACCCCTGTCTTTCTGGACACACGGTTCCCTGAAGACCACGCTGAGGAGCGGGAGCAGCCCAGGAAAGGGCACTACATGTTTGGCTGCCAGATTGCCATCAAGCCTTGCTGCTTCTGGGCTTGGGCAAGATGGCTGCTGCTTATGTTACTGGTAGGCTATCCAGTGCATGCCTTGCATTTATCTTGAGTTCACAGCTTTGAGGCTTGGTCTTGGTAGAAAGGATGAACTCTCTAACAGAGCTGTCCAAAGAAGAGCCAGCCTTGCAGTTAGTGAGAATTTCATCCCTGAAAGCGATCAAGTAGAAACATAGATGATGGGTTCAAGCATCAGATAGGGACTAAAATAAGTAACTTCTCATTATCTAAGAATTCATAATTCTGAATTCTGAGGGAAAGAATTTGGGAAACTTCCCCATACTCTAGTCATCCCTAGCCAACTCCAATTTACAATCTGTAGCTTTCTATGGAAAATCCCACACGCACAGGAGCTGGACCCCTCCCATAACGCCAGAACACTCTTCTTGCCCACTTGCTTCCTTCCCTGGGGTATTACAGAGAAGTTGGGCAAGGCTCTGGGGTGATGCTCAACTGTCTTGGGGCCCCACCCGGTCCATAGAGATGGAAATGCCTGCTCTTTACCTTGGCAAGCTGCTCTCCGAGGCCTCGGGGAACTTCCCGCTCTGTCTCGTTGTCAATTTTATTGCCCAGCAGAAGCACAGGAATGCGGTCTCCCACAGCTTCCTGCAGAACAGACAATCCCCCAACTAAGAGGAGCATCCACATGGAGAACCTAGAAGGGCAGGCTTGAAATGCTGGATGGAAAAGTACATCTGAGTTGAAAATCCCCTGCTGCCACAATAGGCCAGGCAGTAACAGCCATCCTAAAAGTTGAGAGCCAGAGACACCTCCTCTGAGAACCTTAGTTTTCAAGGCTTCAGCAGGGTGCCTGAGGCCTGCCTCTGGGTGCCTTTGGGTACTGCTAGTCCCTGTCAATGCAGTGACTCCGCCCTCCTTCCCCATTCTCCTTGGATGCTGGACAGAACGTGCAGGCCTCCCAGGTGTGCTGGGAGTGGGCATCAGGATGAGGGCACAGTTGAACTACATGTCCTTTCCCAGGGCTTACTGCTCCCTGACAGCATTCCTACAAGGCCAGCCTTAGTCTGAATGAACCAGAGTGAGCCAAAGGAATGAACGCCATGTGGTCTGGAGCTATTCTAGGGGCTACTGTGATTAGAAGTGGTATTTCCAGGGGCCCATATTGGGCATGTAAGCTCCCTGAGGGTTGGATCCAAATACGATCCATGGCATTGGGTCCACAGTGCCTGAAAAACGACAGTGTGTGCCTCACTGGAGGTCACCGCACGTGGTGCTGCACGGCCCGGCCCCTGGGAGCTCTGGATCCGAAGGAAGCCCTGCACCGGGAACACGGGGTGGCCATAGCAACTGCACTTCTTGGGCCGGAAGGAACGGGTTTATTCAAAGGGTCGACCCCATTTACTTGTCCTGCGGCTGTGGCAGATCAGCAGGGCCGGTGTGCCCCGGGGTCTCTGCACCACGAAGTCCTCCCTTGGGACATGGGTGCACCATCCATCCCTCTCCTGAGGGCAAAGAGCCCAGGCCTCACAGCTATTGAGTAAATATGGTAACATTCACATTTAAACGTTGTTATTTTTACTTTGTGAGATACTTAATTAGGGGATTTTGATCATAATTTAGTAAAAATAATCATTCATTGTAGCTAAATATTTTACTAAATAGAGAGGGCTGTAGGATAAGAAGCTATGAAACAGTTATAGTTTTGCCAATAGTTCAACTACTTGATGTTACCATTTCAAATAAATGACCAAAGTCCATCTGATAGGTACACCTGTTTTAAGTTTAAATGCAATTACATTTGAAATTAGGCCTCAATGATTTCTTAATCTACACATTCATTTTCATTGCAGTTCAGTCATGAACAAATTTATTAAATGAGAATATTAAGGCTCAGAGAATCTAAAAGAACATCCAACATCAAAGCCACTGAGTTATGAGGACCCGTTGGTAGATGGGCCCACAATTCTCTGTTTTCCTTTAAAATCTGATGGCCACAAACTCTCTGCTATTTAGAATCTTATTAACTGCAACTCTCTAAAAACACTATTTCCACATATCCATGGTAAGATGGCAAATAATGTTGGTAAGGATGACTCAAAGGCACTACAGGACTTTACATTGCCTTCTGACCCATGGAAATAGATTCAGGTATGTGTACTGTAGTAGATGTGTTAAATGGAATGCACCATATTGCAAGTGAAAAACCCACTTACGGTATATAGAGAATGCTGTGGCTCCCTATTACCAGAGTGTCAATTAATGGAATATCCCCTACCTCTGACTGTGCTGTGCCACAGAAACTCGAGAAACAGTTTTTCCCAGAAAAGGAAGAAAAGAGGAGGAAGGAGGGAAATGGGCCAAAAGGCTTGCTGATTGGAGCACAGGAGAGATATTTGCAGATATATGTGTGAGGAATGACTAAGGCTTGTGGGATTTCTTGACATGGAAACTCTGAAAATATGAGCATCAGACTTGAAATCCCAGGGCAGAAGTAGAAGTCCAACCAGATTCTGATATGGGTGATGGCTTCACTCTCCTCCTTCCAAAGGAGACTGGGTACCGAAGGACCGAACAGAATGAGGCAGGGAACGGTCATAAGCCCAACACATGAGTCCCGTGCACCCCATACAGCAGCGTGCCTCCTGGGAAAAGAAGGAGCAGTCTTCTTTTTAAAAGAAATTCTTGGATATAAAAATAGAAGAGCTAAGAAGGAGCAGGAAAAAATCCACGCCCCCAGCTGGAGCTGTGGTTTCTGTTCTCTGCATGGTCCCTCTTACACAGACATTCTGGACAACTTCCTTCCCCTTCATGGGCCATAGCCTGCCACTGATGAAAGAGAAGTAGGTCTCTCTCCAAACACATGGTAAAAATATGTGAGAACACACATAAGTCTGGAGGGTGAGCTATCATGGGCAATCAGTGGATGTTATTCCAGCTCAAAATCAGACTCTGACCCAGGGCCATAGGGAGGGCTTGGGGTGGGGGTGATTGTCTCATGGCCCTCTCTCACTTTAACTTCTGCCTAAACTTCAACCCTTTTGCATACATAACTAGGTTTTCAGCTTATATATTGCTTGGCACAAAGATGCCTATCATTATCCACCAGATGAAGGAACACTTCCTTTTAAAAGTCCAAACAGTACCTCCTCTGAAGAACAACTCTAAGGTCCACTCAACCTCTGTTGACATTTCTATAGATGTTGCTAAAATGGTATAGGCGTTCCAGATCAGACAGAAGGAGTTGAAGCCCCTTAGCTGGGCACACTATCTCTGTGTAGGAGACCTGGCTTGGCCCTGGATCTGCTGTCTTTCCACAGGGCTCACCCCAATCGCTCCTCTGCTCCTCTCTTCTCTGAGCTGTGAAATATGCCTCTAAAGCTGGTTACTGTCCTCTGACTTAGATACAGAAGCCTCTCTACACCTTTGATCACATTAGTTGCCTTTCTGTGAACTTGAGCTTGTTGGAAGACAGACTAGTTGGAATTCAAAAGATTACACATCTCTGACTTAATAATAAGGGCTGTCAATTTGGAGCAGAAGATTGACATTCAGCTCTGAATGTGCAGCTGTTGGGTTTGGTGGGTTGTAGTATGTGTGTGTGTGTGTGCGCGTGTGTGTATCTATTTGCTGGGAGGCAAGAAAAGCACTTAGCCAGGATAGTGCTGCTATTTCTCTGGAGCAAGAACAAAAATTTCTCAGCACATTAAAGCATGCAGTTATGCTAAGAAAAAAATGACTGCAAAATTATATCTTGGGGGTTTCCATATTTATCCACCCCCTGGACTATGAGTCAAAACAAGATTTATTTGTGTAGTTCGTTTAAACTGCCAGCACTTCAAGCTCAACTTGGAATGTGGGGGGAAAAAAATCAAACTGCTATTTTTTGCCCTGTGGTGCACATTGTCACTAACGACAAATATCACAGGATGAGAATTAGCTAGCAGTCCACGAGAGGACAGGAAAGTGGGCCTGACCCCTTTCAGCTGAAGAACTGTTCTGCTTTGAGACCAAAGCTGGAAGGACTGAAAGAGAAAGGAATACCTATTTTTTTGAAGCAGATTTCAACCACAGGCCATGTGATGAGAGAGAAACATAATGCAGTGGCAAAGCCCTAGATTTTGGTTCTGGCTATGCCATCTGACAAGCCGTGGGTACCTTTGGACAAGTCACTTTCTCTCCGTGGATCTCACAATTTCTCATCTATAAAACAAGAGGCTGCATTGGATTAATCTCCAAGTTACTTTCCAACTCAAAGACATTGGTCTTGTTGGCTTAATAACACCCATCATATTCCACTTCCTTGACTTACAAATCTAACAATACAGTGCTATAAAGTGACAAAAAAATTTTTAAGTAGAAGTTCTACATTCCAGGGCTGCAGACACTGGGGATCAAAAATCTGGCTGCTACTAATGCTTATTTTCTCTGATACAGGCCCAAAGTCTTCAGAAGTCCATTGTGTCTCATGGTCTAAACAGAGGGCTGCTAGAGCCCAGCCAGTTTCTTCTCTAGATTGAACTGGTTAATCCAGGCCCAGCAGCAGAGATGAGAAGAAGATAGGGACAGGTTGGGAATGCTGAGTTGGCAGGAATGGCTAACTGCTTTGATTTCCGGTTAGGTGCATAGGAAATGTAAAATAGCAGGAGAATCAGCATACGGTGTGTCTGGGCCCAGATTGGGCATCTTCTGCAGAAGGCCTGCAGGCCATGTAAAGCTGTCCCGGTGGGAAGGATGAGGTAGGGTGAGGTAGGAGAACAGTCAGGGGTGGAGGATATTTCCAACTCATAAAGCAAGGTTGCTCTCTTGTGCCAAAGGATTTGGGTTCCCTCTGGGCTGGAAACATCCCCGAGGGTCCTCTGATGCACACACACTCCTGACCCATCCTGCCCATCCCCAAGAGAGTCAAATGCCATACTCTGTAGAATGTAGGGGCCAGGAGGGACCTAGCAGAGCCTCTGGTCCACTCCTTCATTCAGTGACTGGCCACAGTTACGTGGCAAGACAGTGGCTGAACTGGAATGGTAAGATCTCCATTTTCAGGGAAACCCAAACCTTGCCTGAGCATTTGTTCTCACTAGAGAACCTCTTCCAAGAGTACATTTTTGCCATGTATAATCTGGGGCACTTTTAGCTCTTTCTTCTTGTACTGCTTTTAGGACTGTGGGAGGAAGGGGCACTGAGAACAGCTGGTCAGCATTCACTTAATAATAAGCCTTCAGAACCTGAAGCCTATTGTTAAAGCTCCCCATCCATACTCCCTTCCCCTTCCCCAGGTAAAGGAGTCAGCAGAGTGCCTGGCACTCTATAGAAAAATAAGGTGCTCCACAAATATAAAGTACTGATTATTTTCAGTTCCCCTCAATCAAATTAGGTGTCAAGTTTTAATCTATCACCTGATACCTCTGATTGCTGGTTGCCAATGCAAAATAAGTTAGCTTTTCAAGAATCTTGAGAATTATTGCATTTATGATGCCACTCTTCCACACCTTCAACACAAAGTCCACCATCTGACACAGAGTTTTGTACTTGCTCTTGAGACGCTGGGCCACCAAACTAGGTCCCTCATACTGAGTGCTCAGGAGTGGCTTGCGAGTGCTGGGCATGCAGGAGATGCTCAAAAAATTCTTGTTGCAGGGGCATGGACA